CGCGAGTGTGTCTGCCGTTGCCATAACAACGGCATTTCCTACACCCAAAGGTTAACATAAAGTGAATATAGGTCTAGCAGGTGGATGACGAAGCCTAACCCAAGGTACGCCTGTCCGGGGATGGTTAATGGAGACATAAGTAAGTGCGCATGTAAGTGCACTTTATCAGTATACTTTTTAATTTTGTAAGTGATGTATGCTTCTATGAAGGTACTATTGTTGATATTGACACAGCTATGATAAATTATATAAATGTACAGAAATACCTCGAAGGTCTAATGAAAAATGAATAAATATTGTTTAATAATTAAGATAATGATGATAATGATTATAATGTAAAAGAACAGTATAAAAGGTAATGGAGATACCAATCAGTATATATATATATATATATATATATATATATATATATATATATATTACATATATTAAAGTTTCCTGGAGTGAATACCGATTTAAACTTAGTGAATCGACGGGAATATGCAAAGTTGGGTTCGTATGAAGGTCGACGGTTGCCGGTGGAGAGTCGAGACAGGATGCCGTGCGGTCATTTTGGGAACGGATATTTATTGTAGTGCTGATAAAGTTGTTTTTTGTAGTTATGATATTCACTAGTTTTTTTTTTAGCATTTAGTGTTATAGAGACGTTAAAGTTGCCTCCACTAAATTGAATATCATTTACTGTTCATTTACGCAGTTTTTGAAGAAAAAAAAAGTGATAATTTTGATAGCTACGAAGGTATGGAAGAAATAGTGGAGAAATCCAATATTCTGTTATCCTTCGAACGGCATGGCCGGATTCGCCACTCACCTCTCTCCTAAAGGGAGGAAGGAAGGGGGAAAGGTAGGGGAGGGTGGGTTGGGTCGTAATGGGGTGGAGGGGTCGAAGGGGAGGGTGGGTTGGGTCGTGGAGGGGTCGAGGGTGGGTTGGGTCGTATGGGGTGGAGGGGTCGAAGGGGAGGGTGGGTTGGGTCGTAATGGGGTGGAGGGGTCGAAGGGGAGGGTGGGTTGGGTCGTAATGGGGTGGAGGGTCGAAGGGGAGGGTGGGTGGGTCGTAATGGGGTGTCGAAGGGGAGGGTGGGTGTGTATTAATGGGAATGCTTTCGTCGCTGGCTATTAATAATGGATGTAGACTTCCTGTGTTTGTGCGTCAGATTGGCAATGGGTGGGTCGCACCTAATATTTGAGCATCTGCTGAGGGGTGATAGAGTAGGTTTTGGGCCATTTCCGCTATTCTCTTTTTCAATTTATTTTCTTTCTTTTCTCGCCGAAATCCGTGCAGTTCTTCCCATACCAAATCTCTTCATTTATTCATGTGTTCGCCGAATTTGGAGGGACTTTGTCAACTTCTGAAATACTAGAGGCCTGTATTTCTAATTGTTCGTTCGGTCGGCAAATTACAGGGCTTTTCCTGCCCATCAAAGTCATTAGGTACACCCCTGCCTCTCTCTCTCTCCTCTCTCTCTCTCTCTCTCTCTCTCTCTCTCTCTCTCTCTCTCTCTCTCTCTCTCTCTCTCTCTCTCTCTCTCTCTCTCTTTCTCTTTCTCTTTCTCTTTCTCTTTCTCTCTCTCCCTCTCCCTCTCCCTCTCCCTCTCCCTTTCCCACCCCCCCCTCCCCCCCTCCCCCCCCTCCTCCTCCTCCTCCTCCTCCTCCTCCTCCCTCCCTCCCTCCCTCCCTCCCTCCCTCCCTCCTCCCTCTCTCCTTTTCTTTCTTTCTCACATACACATACACAGAAACAACCAAATTGGTTCACTAACACGCACACTCTCCCACATTAGCTCACCCACCCTACCGTCAACTCTCCCCACCCTATTTCCTCTGTTAATACCGTTACGTAACAAATAAATCACAAATTCACAAATTAACAAATAAGTCAAAATCCGAGAGCCAGTGCTTGCTTTAAAGATGAGCCTCAAACACATTTTTTTTTTTTTATCCACGTTTTCTGTAACACCTTAACCTATAAAGTTCAGCCAATGAGTTCTGGGAATGGAGAATGTGGGACAAAAGCCTATCGATTGCCCGTTACAAAAGGAGCCGTAAACACAGGGCAGGTTGGGAAGACCTCGCCACCTGGTATGGTTTGTTCAGTAGGTTTACACGGGAGCTTTTTACGATGCGGGAAAACAAAAAGAAAGTTTTTTTTATTATTTATTGTTTTCCCTTTCTCTTTTTCTATTTCTGTCCTCATAAAAAGAATATTTAAGAAATGTTTTTTGTTATCATATTTCTTTTTTCTTCTGCTTTTCGTTTCTCTTTTTTACCATATAGTGAAAATATATATATATATAATAGTTCAAATTTCTTCATAATAACATTTTATTAAAACGGAACGAACTAATAATGATTATGGAAAATTATGCAAAATAGTAACGTTGCACATTGATGATCATAACTATCATATATTACAACCAAGTGTGTTTTCAATTCACAAACCGCTGATTCTTTTTTTTTATGTATATTACAAACGTGACACGTAGCACTGCAAAGAAATTGGGTGAGATTTTTACGTTTTTCCTTCATTTATGCACCTAAATAACGTACAGGTATTCAGGCCTTGTCAGCCGTTTGAATATTTGGTCTGTGTGTGTGTGTGTGTGTGTGTGTGTGTGTGTGTGTGTGTGTGTGTGTGTGTGTGTACAGACGGGGTCATAGAAGGAAAATTAGTGAACATCACGGTTACAATCCTTGCAAAAACCTGCAATTTCTTAATTTTGATATACTTGCGTGTTCATAGCTTGTATCTTGAATAAAATTTGTTCCACATCTTATTACTGACAAACTATATATATATTTGATATTACATTTATGCCAATGACCTCTACTTCAATATAAAAGTTTCATTTATCTAAACAAGTTTATGTTATCTGAAAATTAACACAGCAGAGTAGTGATGATTTTAAAGCCACGTGTATACATAATCCAGTTTCGTCGGAAGATAAGTTAATACGATGAAATGATATAATCAGATACGTTTTTTTAATGCAAATATAAAAAAAAACAATGTAGCCTGATTCGTATTGAGTTGTGTACAATTAAAATGCCTTATTTAATATTTTCAAAGTCTGGATTGTGAACTTTTATTCAGAGATTTGTTAGTTATAAAAATGTTCGTAGATTCGCGCTCTTTTTAACCGTCGTTGATATGGGAAATCACATACATTTTAAACACCTCCTCCTTCTTCTTCTTCTTCTTCTTCTTCTCTTCTTCTTCTTCTTCTCTTCTCTTCTCCTCCTCCTCCTCCTTCCTCCTCCTCCTCCTCCTCCCTCCTCCCTCCTCCTCCTCCTCCTCCCTCCCTCCTTCCTCCTCCTCTCCTCCTCCATTTCTTCTTCCTCCTTCACTTCCTCCTCCTTCCTCTCCTCCCCCCCTCCTCCTCCTCCTCCTCCTCCTCCTCCTCCTCCTCCTCCTCTCCTCCTCCTTCCACTTCCTCCTCCTCCATTTCTTCTTCCTCCCTTTCACTTCCTCCTCCTCCTCCTCCTCCTCCTCCTCCTCCTCCTCCTCCTTCCTCTTCCTCCTCCCACATACCCTTTATGCACATACGAATATCCATTATACACAAAGAATAACACTTAACACAAATTTAGAATAAGATTGACAATATTGAATAATATCGGTGAAGGTCTATCCAGGTGCCAATTCGTGTTTTGGAGAACCTTAAATGTTATTGTTATTCATAATATCATTGATATTGCTGTTGTTGTTGTTCTTGTTATCATTAATATAATTATTCTCGATGTTATTATTATCACTATCATTATCATTATTGTTGTTGCTGTTACTGTATCTACTACTCCTGTTACCACTATCATTATTATTATTATTATTATTATTATTATTCTAGGTAGGGAGAGTTTTATATTGATAGGGCATGAGGGGCGTAGCAATTATTTTTCCACCAGAATTTTTTTAACGCCTGTCTAGCGAAAGAGTGAAATGGGAAGAACCCCCCCCCCCCTTCCCGGCAGCAGAATAGGTCAAATAGAAAGTTTAGCTATTTTCTAACCGATCTTTCACATAAGGAAACGGCATACACAATTTGGGACTTTTATGGCCATATGCCTAAAGGAAGTCCGTTCTGAACGCATTTTACTTATGCTAGAAGATTCACGTAATTCAAGGACTGTCCGTTTAAAAAATACAATGGTCTCTTCTCGCTTTATTTTGGTATACCGGTTGATTTTTTTGTTGTATGTAGTTTGTAGAGGATTTTGTGCATTAGAGAGCGTATTCCACATTTTTTTGAAGCCAACGACCAGTGTGGCGAAAATGGCGTCTCCTTTCTTCCACGCTTCCACGCTTCCACGCTCTCCCCTTTCTTCATAATTCTGGAACCGGTCCTGATCCTTATATAGATTTGAATATCGTGCGTAGAAATTAATATATTAAATAGAACTGAGTTGGTATCCCGTATGTTTACCGCATAGTACAAAGGTAATTTCACTTAACGTTTATTAGACCACTTTATAGGAGCGTGAAATAGAAGATATGATTTACCTGGCCTCTTATTTTCGCGTTATCACTGTGGAATGAGCTGTGGTTTAGTTGATATGGATTATGCATGCCAGAAATCGGTTAACCTAAGATGCTTGGAATGTCGTTTCTGTAGGCCACTGATTATGATGATTTTATGATTATTCTCTCTCTAATGTATTATCAGGCTTTTTATCATTCTCTCGGTCTTTGTCTCCGTCTCTCTTGCTTTTTCGTTCTCTTTATCTCTCTCTCTCTCTCTCTCTCTCTCTCTCTCCTCTCTCTTCTCTCTCTCTCTCTCTCTCTCTCTCTCTCTCTCTCTCTCTCTCTCTCTCTCTCTCTCTCTCTCTCTCTCTCCCTCCCTCCCTCCCTCCCTCCCTCCCTCCCTCCCTCACTACCTCAACAGTACCCTCCTTTCCCATCCAATCAAATAACCCATCCATTCCCCCCCCCCTTATCCTCCCCGTCCCCCATCCCTCTCCAACCCACCACCATTCATCACCACATCTTACGCCCCACCCTCTTGCAGATCGTGGACTGCTTCCGGAACGCCCGTCTCTACCGCCGCGAGACCGTGGAGGGGATGGTGCCGCCGCCCACTGAGATGGTGGTGCTGTTCACGTGGTTGGGCGCCAAGCAGAAGTACGCACACAAGTACGCCAACTGCTGGACTCGCCGGGGTTACGACGTCCTCCATGTCACCTGCTCCGTCCGCGATCTGCTTTTCCCCAGGAGCGGGGCTGAGGTAGGAGGGGGAGGGGGGTTAGAGTGAAAGGGGTTGGGGGAGGAGTAGGGAGGGAGGTGGGAGGAGGAGGGAGGGAGGTGGAAGGAGAGGAGGGAGGGGAGGAGGGAGGGAGGTGGGAGAGGAGGGTGGAGGGAGGAGGAGGGTGGAAAGAGGGAAGGAGGGGAGGTGGGAGGAGGGAGGGAGGAGGAGGTGGAGGGAGGTTAGGGTGAAAGGGGTTGAGGGGGGTAAGGGATGGAGGAGGAGGAGGAATGAAAAGAGGACAGTGGAAGGTTAATATTGTTCTAGGGTGATATTGGTCCATCAATGCACTTGCAGTAGCTGATCTAAGTTAAATATCATTGGCTTAAAAGGATGACATAATAGAGGATATAGCTATAACAATGATAAGGAAACACTTTGAGTAAAAGATATTATATGTATGAACTTGAAGTTGTAGTAATGAATTCTTTTAGAGATGTAATTTCTAATACAGTATTTTTTAATAATACAGTAATACAGTAATTAGACTGCCTTCAAAGGAACAAAGAAATATAGATAAAATCAAAGTTATACATGTTTGTACGTTATAGAAACCATGCAAATTGCAATAATAAAGTATTTATTATGAGGAGAAGGAATGGAAATAGATTACAACAATAATGATAAGTAAAAAATACTCTTCATTTTGGGTTGTTCTGCATATTAGAGCTTAACCCTAAGCTAATTCCACAAAATATCTACAGGTGACAGCATCCAGAGTCGTGGACTTTCTAACAAGCTATGACAGAAAGGTGATCGTGCATGGCTTGAGTGTGGGTGGCTACCTCACACAAAGGGTCCTAATTGACGCCAAAGACTCGCCTATTCACATCTCCCATCAGATCTTCGATAGTTTCAGTAAGTGGACTGCTGTCTAGCTTTTATTATTATTACTGTTATTATTATTGTTGTTATTATTATTATTATTATTATTATTATTATTATTATTATTATTATTATTATTATTATTATTATTTGAAGTCCCTTCATTTTTGTTATTATCATGAATGTTATTGTTTTTATTATTATTGTTCTTATTGTTATTATTATTAATGTTCTTATTGTTATTATTGTTTTTTCATCATTATTAGTATTATTATGATTATCATTAGTATGATTATTATTGTCATTATTATTATCAGTCTTCTTTTAGGCAATTTGCATTTCATTGAAGAAGGAAGACTCAGTTTATGATTGTCTGAGAGGAGGGGTAGGAGGAGAAGAGGAATGGAAGGAGACGTAAAGAATAAATGGGAGAGTTAAAGAAAAGGCGTTGAAGGGGACATAGAGAGGAAAGACGAGAAGAAAGAAGAAAGGGACTAAAAGTGAGAAGGGAAAGGGGAATAGGAAGGGACCTAAAGAGGAAAGGAAGATGGACAAAGGCGAAGAGAGAGGGGGCTCAGAGAGAAAAGGGGAATGGGAAAGACAAAGGAAGTGGGTGAGGTTGAGGAGGAAGAGGAGGGAAGTGGAAGGGGGTAAATGTAGGACTTAAAGTGGGAGGGGAAGAGAGCAGACCAGGAAAAGGAAATGGAGAGAGTGAGGGTAAGAAAAAGAATAGAGGAGGAGGGAGGTAGGAGAAGGGTGAAAGAGAGAGAGAGGTAGAGAGAAATAATTCTAAATTTTGTTTTTGTTCCATGGTTTATCAGTTGATCCTGCTAGATATTATTGATTCTGATGATATTATTGTTGCTATTAATTATGATGATGTAATTATTACTATTAATTACAATAATTATAATAATAATAATATAATGATTATTGTTTTTATTTTTTATTATGATGATTATCATCACCATTGATATTACTTTCTTTGTTATTATTATCATTATTATTATCATTGTTGTTATTGTTATTCTTATTATCATTATTAATGTTATAGATGATATTGTTATTGTTATTGTTATTACTGTTATATCTGCAGTTGAGAATGTATTGCATGTAAAGTGAATAACAGATTAAAAGTTATTTTGATGAGTCCAAATCATATAATCTTTACCAAAGTGCATCATTAGAAATTGTGCTAGATAGATTTTTCTTCTGACCAGTTGCTACTACCAACAAATTTTCCTCTTTTTTTTCCATTTTACTTTAACTACTTGAGATGATTTGTATACATCATAGATAGCAATAAATTTTTACTCTGAATTCTAGAAATTTTACGGAAGGATTTATAGTGAATTAAAGAATATGAGTAATTCAGATGGTGGTGATGTCTCTTGTGTGTGACTATCAGCTGCATGTAAATTGTTTGAGTATAAATTTAAGTGCATGTAAGGAAATATAACTTATGCCATATATTTCAGTTTTATAACTAATACACATGCTTTACATAATAGAAGCTCTCTTTCCATGGGAGACATTGTTCCTAGCTTTTCATTGTAAGGTTTTCCATTTAGGTAATATTTTGTGGGATATATTGTCAGCAATTTTAATACATCAATTTTTTTGCAGCAAATGTAGTGGGAATCGAAAAAGGAGTTCAAAATGCTGTCCACCCACATTACCGAACACTTGCAACAAAATGTATGAAGTAAGTACCATAATATATCAGTTTGTTTGAAAAATTACATGTGTATATACCATTCATTGTTGAACTTTTTTATTATCATCTTCATCACAAATTAGATTCTAACTTGAAAATCTTAATATTTCAGAGTTTACAGCAAATATGCTGATCTGTCAAGTATATTGGAAGCACAAAAGTTTGTCACAACAACTCCTTGCCCGGCACCTGCCCTCTTTGTGCATAGGTAAGAATTTGCGGACCAACTTTTTTTGACAATGTAAGATATTCAAAATTACTTTTTTAGCAATTGATTGTGAGTCTGATGTACCATCACACAAAGTTAGATGTCTTGTGTGTATCCTACCCATGTATGAGTAATCATGTATTGATAGTAATTCATATAACACAGTAATCATTCTAGATTAATTCAACAAATTGAAGATACAATTTTTCACCATTTTACGTTGTTTGATGGTCTTTCCTCAGTATGGCCGATCAGGTTGCTTCATACGAGGATACAGAAGAAGTTATCAATGCACAAAGAAAGGTTGCTCCTGTGGATACATACGTGATTCCAGCTGAACGAAAGGTTCCTCATGTCACTATTATGAAGTACATGGGAGAGCAAAACTACATGGGCCTCATACATAATTTTGTTGGTAAGATAATATGAAGTAGAGTTGATTTTGTCATTAGGAAAATGTAGGAATGAATTCCTGTCACACATAGTTGTGTGTGTGTTTGAGTATGAGTGATTGAGTGTGGGAGAGAGAGAAAGAAAGAAAGAAAGAAAGAATACATACATACAGAAAGCTGGTGATCAAATTCCAAAAGTTTCTACATGTAACAATCTGTATCTGTTTGCAGAAGTGGATATTTTGTAAGAAACCCTAATAGTGATAATGATTAATATTTGCAAAATATCAGCTGTGTAAAGTTCTCATTCAATAGTTTTGATTTTGATATAGAAAATTCACTTTGTTCAATTTGACTTTAGGTGATTGATGCAGATTTCATACAAAAAGATTAATTGAAATTCAGCTTTCGGTAATGGGTGCTGATTACACAGGAGAAATAACAAACAAACATGAGAATTATTGTTATGATATTTCATTGTGTGCACAGAATTATGTGGAAGTTCATGTAACTAATGCTGATTATGCACCAAAATTCTCATGGATCTCATTTAATGACTAACTACAAATAAAATAGCACTAAAATCATCATGGAACAGAATTCTATGCAAAGACTCAAATTGAAATCCTAATTTGGCAAATAAATCCCAATTATTGAAAAAATAAAAATAAAAATAAAAAAATGGAATCAGATTTCTTGTAATGCTAACAGACACTGATTCCATGCATCTTTCCTCCACAGAGCGGTACAGAGGAGCTGTGATTTCAAGCCAAAATGATTTCGACCTTTTAACAAACACACCACCAGCCATACCCCAAGGACAACCGAAACTGGTGCTGCCACAGTAGAGACTGAAACGTGCAAGAAGACAGACAACAAGCTGGGACCAGAGAATGTTGTGTTTTTTCATCTTTCTTTTCAGCATTTGTATAGTACTGTTGCATAAGGATTTCTGCAACACAATGAGCTTTTTTTTATTGGAAGAGTTATAGATTCAGTCTATGTTTGATTATGAATAATTTCAGAATGTTATATGTATGATCTGTGGAATCATCTGGAGCTTGTATGATTTTATTTGAACAAGTAATATATTTTTAAATTATTA